ATGTACACTGATACTCTTTCTTTTACTTACATCTTTGAAAAATCATTGTTTACAGTGAAGGGGGAAATTCATTCAAATTTCAATCAAAATAAAAATAACATTTTATGGGTAGAAAAATACTTTTGGGTAGTCGACATGTCCATAACATTTCAAACAATTTCAAACACTATTCTGCTGCTTATTTTACAATTACTATGCTTTTATGAGACTATAAGTGCTTTTAACACTGCAGTTCTTTAAATATGAACTAGTGAAGACAAGATTGTGATCAAAATAATACAACAATTTGATGCAGAAACAGTTTTCGCTCAGAGATTGCAAGTCAATTTCACTTTTAATTGCAAAGAAATGAGAAGTAACACACTGAATTATGACATTTTGAAGTAGAAAACAGTATTCTCTTTGAAGTCGTACTCTAATAATCTTTGTTTTACTTCACACAAATCATTTTTCACATTGTGCAGGACCTATAAGATATACTTTCCCCTTACATTCATATGAACTCTAACCTAAAATCTTTTTGTTTTCATTAAGTGTCGACATAAGCACGTTTTATGCTTAATGTCTCATTCGGACACTCCAAAACACTGGGCAAAACCAAAAACTGTGATGTTTTTCAGCATTCGGTTTAGTTCCCTGTTCCTCTGAGTAAAAGAAACAGCACATTCCACATATTTCCGTTTGTCCTTCACCTCTAACCTGAAATACCCTGACCTCAAACAAAACCAGACGCACAATGCCTTTGACATCACACGGGCCTTGCATCACAAACAGGTCGGACTTCTTTCGCTGCGGTTAAAGGCCTGTCAGCAACTAATCTGAGCTCTAAAAATAGATCCAGTCGCTGTTTCCAAATATGCAAAACCTGTCTTGTCAACTTTACAAACAGTTCTTCAGCACTAACTGCTCGAGTGAACAGGTACAAGTCATTCGATAACACTTTCTCTCATAATAAAGCAGTAGTTTTTTGTTTGGTGAAGAGTATTGTCTGGGTGAAGGAGTCCGTAAGGTGTGTCCTCTCATATCTGATATCTACACAGTTCCTACAGCTTTATTCCCACTGCTATTTTTAGCACAGGCTCATATAGTACAGGATGCCATGGATTCTTTTCAGTTTTGCTGTCAACAAACCGTCATTCAAACAAAACACACACACACAAATGTCTGGTCAGCTATCCTTGTGGGGACTCTCCATAGGCGTAATGGTTTTTATACTGTACAGACCGTATATTCTATTGCCCTACACCAACCCTACCCCTAAACCTACCCCTCACAGGAGACTTTCTGCATTTTTAGATTTTCAAAAAACTTAATTCTGTGTGATTTATAAGCTTTTGTACCCACAATTTAGGTCCCCACCGTGACACGAGTCCCCATGAGTCTGTGTGTACTCAGGTTTAAGTCCCCACCAGGATATATAAACCAGTACACACACACACACACACACACGTGTGATTAATAAAGCATCTATGTTTCCGAAACAAACATTTCTATAGTGACTATAAGTGTATTGCAGGTCCAAAACACCAAAAGTCACCATCTGAAGTACTTAGAATAATAAACATAACTATTATTATTCATTAATCTATTTTTAGGGAGATGTCATTTTGGTATTTCTGAAAATGTTGAAGGATGCACAGTTAAGTATTCTAAAAGAGATTATTACATAAAAAAAAGTAATTAACAAATTAAATCATTTATTTTGATATTTTAATTTGAGTGTTTTTGTTGTGTGTTTCTCTCATGTTTATTTATTTATAGTTCATTTGGTAATTTATTTCAAGTTTTATTTTCATTTTTTTTTACATGCACTCACATATGTTTACATCATAATAGTATTTATTGTACATTTATTTTAGTTTAGTTCATGTTTATTTTATTCTCAATAATGTTTTTTGTTTTAGTTAAGTATAATAATCCTATAATGAAAAGCACATTTATGGATGAATAAATAAAATTAATAAAATCAATCATTAAATGTACCTATTTAATTTGTAATATTTCATGGAAACACAATTGCTGTGTTATTTCATGATATCTAAATGTCTTTTTTACTTTGGAACGACACATAATGGACAAATCATTCAGAATTTGATTCCTTAATGCACTAGAATCAGAAGTTCTTTGCAGGCTCTCATATTATATTCAGCTGGGAAAGTCTTTTTTGGTTTCTCTCTTTCTTCTATTGTGCAGTAGGCAACGGTGGGAACCGCAAAGGAAGGAGTCGAAAATGGAAGGAATTTCTGCGTTTCCCGCACATAAACGAGTGCACAGAGCTGGAGAATAGCATCGGTGAGAAGAAGTTCAAGTTTAGTTTTTACAGTGTTTTAATTCTTTGCAGTGGAGTTTATATACAGTGCCACAGATCCTGTGGTGAGCATATGTAACCCTGGACCACAAAACCAGATAAGTTAAATAAGCTTAATAAATAAGCTTTCCATTGATGTATGGTTTGTTAGGATCGGACAATATTTGGCTGAGATACAACTATTTGAAAATCTGGAATCTGAGGGAGCAAAAAATCTAAGGTTGTCCAAATGAAGTTCTTAGCAATGCATATTTACTACATAAATTATTATTTTTTTTAAATATATATTTATAGTAGGAAATTTCCAAAATATCTTCATGGAACATGAACTTTACTTAATATCCTGATTTTTGGCATAAAATAAAAATGTATAATTTTGACCCATACAGTGTATTTTTGGCTATTGCTACAAATATCCCCCAGCGACTTAACACTGCTTTTGTGCTCCAGGGTCACATACACACCATAACTTTGGGAAAACATAAAATTATCAGTACTACAAATTAGTCATGTTAATGTCCTGATTGTTGTTTTAAAGCTGCAATAATATATTTGCAATTAATTGCATGAATGCACTGTGTTATTTTCTGTCCTTCAGAGCGAGATTATTACAGTCTGTGTGTCAAACAGCCCATCGGAAAACAACTCTTCCGTCTTTTCTGTGCAACTAAATCTGATCTGCAGCACTTCATCAACCTGTTGGATGAAACGGTATGATCTTCTGTCTAATACCAGGCTTCTGAAATGGACTTTGTGAATTGATGTGAATCTAATGATTCAATAAATCGCATGCAACATTAAAATAAACAATCGGAGCTGCACAATTCAACAAAATAGACCTGAAATAGAGGTATATTCCATCAAATCACTACATAGTCAGTTGCACTGCATGTTTCAGAGTGAAGAGTGGCACTGTGTTCATTTACACGCGTGTGGCTATTAATATGATTTTTTCAGAGCGGCTCGCGCTGCTCATGATCTCCATCTCTGCAAGCATGCAAACATGCACATTCATGTCATTTCTAACATTTTTGTGGACTGCATTTCACCAATATTACACCAAAAGAGAAGCTTGAGAGTTTAAAGTGAAAAATTTAAAACATACATATTTGCATTGTAACTTAGTGTTAGTTGGTTCTTTAAAAAGTGAGCTTAGTGTTAAAACCCTTAAACGTAACTATAGAGTCTTTTGTTTGTGCCTGAATGAAAGTCATGTCAAATGAAATGTCATGTTGGAGTTCAAGTTCAAGAGCAATATATGGCAAAAACATATATATATACACACACACACATATATATATAAAGAAAGATTATTAGAATACATTTTACAAGAAAATACGGTAACACTTTATTTTAAGGTGTCCTTTGTTACACGTTGATGTTACATGTACTTACTATAATAACAATTATGCATAATTACATACAAATAACCCGAAGCCAAACCCTAATTCTAACCCTAACCATATAGTAAGTACATGAAGTTAATTAATATTACTTCAAATTACACATTTGAAACAACATTCTGCTTGCCATTTATTTGTAATTATTTGTGAAATTTACTTGCAATTTCTGAGTGAAAAAGAATCATACATCAGATTGATTTCAGCGTATATGAACGTTTACATGACCTGGACTATCTATTTTACATTTTGTGAAATGCAATTTGTTAATATTAGTGAATAAATGTTTTTACTCTTTCAGGCGGAATATGAGGTCACACCGGATGACAAGAGAAAGAACTTTGGAAAAGAACTCATGAACAAATATCTCACCTCACAGGTTTTTAAACATTCATTTATACTTTTCGCCTCATTTCCAATCTGATAATCAAAACTCAATATTGCAGTTATTGCAGAAAATGTCACTAACTTGTCTAAACTACAAGTAAAGGGGCTAAATGACTGTTTCACCTGAAGGAAGGTGTTTTCACGCTCATGTGTGTGTTTTTAGTTCTCTAGGGTGCGTGCGATTGTAGACTGGGAACTTGAGAAGTGCAGTGAAAATATATTCAGCAGCTGCCAAAAGTCAGTTCCTCAAGTTTGGTTATAAATGCATCTGTACATGTGTGTCTGTGAGCACTGATGTGACATGCATTTGGGTCTTGCAGGGCACTTCATGAGTATCTGAGTGGAGCTCCATTTGCAGAGTACCAGAAAAGCATGTACTTTGACCGATTCCTGCAGTGGAAGATGGTGGAGAGGTTAGTGTGAATCGTTTTAAAGGAATAGTTCACCCAAAAATGAACATTTGCTGAAAATGTGCTCACCCTCTGACCATCCAAGATGTAGATGAGTTTGTTTCTTCATCAGATTTGGAGAAATGTAGCATTGCATCTCTGTCTCACCAATGGATGCTCTGCAGTGAATGGGTGCCGTCAGAATGAGAGTCCAAACAGCTGATAAAAACATCACAGTAATCCACACCACTCCAGTCCATTAGTTAATGTCTTGAGAAGTGAAAAGATGCATGTTTGTAAGAAACAAATCCATCAAGAAGCTTGCTTCTGGCTAAAATACGAGTCTATAATCCATAATAATGCTTTAACCAGTGAAAAAGTCATCTGGTCTGAATCAGGAGAGAAATCTGCTCAGACCAAGCACCGTTTACAAGCCAAAACAGCTCTAAACAAATATGTGGGAGGATTTTAATGTGAAAGACAACAGGAGATTGTCAGTCCTGTGTCTCGTGTTCTCCTCCCCCATGTGCTCCATGACCCAGTTTTCCCTCGTGTTTGATTATGTTTATTGATTTCAGGTGTTCCTCATCATCTCCTCGTCATGTCATGTGCATTTAAAGTGTTTCCTGTTCTGAGTTCTTCGTCCGGTATTGAATGTTCATCTTTTCCCGCTACGTGTGTGTTCCTAGTGCCATTGGCTGTTAAAGTATCTTTGTTTGAAGTCTACTCCACGTCTCCTCGTTCCTCGCTCCCTCACAGTAGCGTACGTGACAGAAATGGGGTTTTTCACTGGAGGAAGCATTATTATGGATTATGAACTCGTATTTTAGCCAGAAGCAACAGTTTGAAGTTAAAAACATCTTAATGATGAATTTGTTTCTTACAGACATGCAGCTTTTGTCTTCTCCAGACATTAACTGATGGACTGGAGTGGTGTGGGTTATTTGTGGATTATTGTGATGTTTTTATCAGCTGTTTGGACTCTCATTCTGACGGCACCCATTCACTGCAGAACATCCATTGGTGAGCAAGTGATGTAATGCTACATTTCTCCAAATCTGATGAAGAAACAAACTCCTCTACATCTTGGATGGCCTAAGTAAACTTTCAGCAAATTTAAATTTTCCATTAATTATCCATTATCAAAGCATCACAAGCAATGCTGTTTCCTTCAGGAAATGTTTTGAACAGACCATAACATCTCTTTCATCCCTGTAGACGCCCGATCACACGAGACATATTTCGAGAGTACCGTGTTTTGGGAAAGGGTGGGTTTGGAGAGGTGAGACCAAATCTGGTAGCCATTCTTTTATAGGGGAGAAGATAATCATACCCACAGAAGCTTCTAATAGAAATAAAGAGAAAAGTGTCATGTGACGCCTCTGGTTCCAGGTGTGTGCGTATCAGTCCAGAGCATCAGGCAAAATGTACGCATGTAAGAAACTGGAGAAGAAGCGCATTAAGAAGCAGAGAGGAGAAGCCATGGCCCTCAACGAGAAACAGATTCTAGAACGGGTCAACAGCAGATTTGTGGTGAGATTTATGATTATCAGTAACCAAGTCTCAGGTTTTTGATGTAAATGTTTATGCTTAAATGACTTTTTCTGCTTCGTTGGATCTCACAAAACGGGTTCAGGTCAGATTTTACTCCGAAATCAAAGAGAGAAAGAAGATCTTATAAATATTTAAAACGTGTGTGTGTGTGTATATATATATATATATATATATATATACAGAAATTACTATAAAAATCTTAATTTCATACGCGTACTGTATAATAAATTGTGTGTATACATGCAGCTATTTTTATATAGTATATGCAAGTTATTTTTATTGTAACTTACAGTGTATGTATGAAAAATATAGACCTAAAAGAATGTAGACATATAAAATATACATAGTAGTAATTAAGAATGAAGACTATAAATGTGTGTGTATATATATATATATATATATATATATATACATTCTCTCTCTGTATACAAATAGATCTAATATTTATAGAACTGTAATATATCTATACACATTTATACATTTATACGGGTGTGTGTATTACAGTAAAGAGAATTTGAGAATTAGATCAATTCTGTAGTAACTTTCTGTAAGCAATTTATTTTTATATAGTATATGCAAGTTATTTTTATTGTAACTTGGTGTATGTATGAAAAATATAGACCTAAAAGAATGTAGACATAGTAGTAATTAAGAATGAAGACTATAGATGTGTGTGTATATATACATTCTCTCTCTGTATACCAATAGATCTAATATTTATAGAACCGTAATATATCTATACACATTTAACATTTATATACACACACATGGGTGTGTGTATTACAGTAAAGAGAATTTGAGAATTAGATCAATTCTGTAGTAACTTTCTGTAAGCAATTTTTCTAATTCTTTTATTTGTTGTTCTTGTTCTCCTTTTTGATTTCGTAATGAACTAGGAGCTGTTTTGTGTGATTTTTGCCGTCTGTTTGTCTGAATGTGTCAGGTCAGTTTAGCATACGCTTACGAGACGAAAGAGGATCTTTGCCTGATGCTGACGCTGATGAACGGAGGAGACCTGAGGTTTCACATCTATAACATGGGCACCGAGGGGCTCAACAAAGAAAGAGTAGAGTTTTATGCTGCTGAGATCCTGTGCGGCTTGAGCCATCTTCATAAAAAGTCTATTGTTTATAGGTAGGTCATAAAACCGAGAGCTGTCAGGTAACTTTTAATGCGCTGGACACAGTTGACATAGTTTCCAGAAATCTACCTGTGAGGAAGAACCAAACAGATTGAGCCTGTCTCATAGTTACATGTTGTTTCGTTTCTATCAGGGATTTAAAGCCAGAAAACATTCTGCTGGATGATAATGGTATGTAAACTTCCCCATAAAAACAAACGACGTTAACTGCCCATACAAGCTTTGTAACATTCCCTTCAGGATCTACAATTTCCTTAAACTTTCTATTTTTGGCATAATCAACCAGGAAACACTTCTCCAAAATTAGTTTCATTATCATAAATGAGGAAATGAATGCACTTCAGGGCATGTCAGTTTGAACATTTGTTGCGTTTGACATTATTAACCTGTTGCATAAAATTCTGATCCGACTTTTTAAAATACAATGACCTTAAAGTCAAAAGCAAATGTTGTTGCATGAGATCAAGTGTGTGTTTCTGTGCTTAAATACTGAAGGGTCTTTGCCAAATCTTGGTGACATTAAGTATGGACCTGTTTCCAACAGGGAATAAAAGATAACTTCCCTTTTTCTCATCACAAATAAAAAAAAAAGGCAATTGCTTTTTCTCACAATCCAAATTATTTTTTTTTGCAATGGTAAGTCAATTTCTCACAATTCTAAATTGCAAGAAAAACATAAGATATTAAAAATACTGTAAGATATAAATTCAGAATTGTTTTTTTTTTTTTCAGAAGAAAAAAAACACTGATTTATGAAATAAATAAAAAAATCACAATTACACTTTTTTTTTTTTTTTAATTCCATGGCATGGAAATAATAATAAACAGGCTTTCATAGTTAAAGGGATAGTTCCCCCAAAAATGAAAATTCTGTCATTTAATTACTCCGCCTCATGTCGTTCCAAACCCTTAAGACCTTCGTTCATCTTTGGAATGCAAATTAAGATCTTTTTTGATGAAATCCGAGAGTTTTCTGACCCTCCCATAGACCGCAATAGAACCATCATGTTCAAGGACCAGACACGAAGTAAGAACATCGTTAAGATATGGCCCAAAAAAGGGCAAAGAAAACCCAAATAACGACGTTATTGGCCACACGTTGTACAGAACTGTTATCAGGACCTTTTCCTTCCCGGTATTTAGTAAGGAAGTCTGGATCAGGGAAATGGTTCTTAGCCTAGAAAGATTAAAAAACTTTTTCTTTTTTTTTCCTGTTAGATGATGTGGTGTTAATCATAATTTTGCCATCTGTCCCTGTTTTCTGACAGGTCACATTAGGATCTCAGATTTAGGACTAGCCATAATCTTGCCAGAAGAAAATCTTGTGAAGGGCAGAGTGGGAACAGTGGGATACATGGGTACGAAAATCATCTTAGTAAATTATACTTGAGACAAAAATTATATTTTTGCACAAAGTCTCTACTGCTCACCAATGCTGCATTTATTTGATAAAAATACAGTAAAACGGTGATAGTAAAATATTATTACGATTTCAAATAACTATTCTTTATTTTAATATAGGTTAATTTTATTTATTCCCGTGATCAAAGCTGAATTTTCAGCATCATTACTCCAGTCTTCAGTGTCACATGATCTCCAGAAATCATTCTAATATGCTGATTTGCTGCTCAAGAAACATTTATGATTATTATCAATGTTGAAAACAGTTGTGCTGCCCAGTATTTTTGTGGAAACTGATACATTTTAGTTTTCAGGATTCTTTGATTAATAGAAAGTTCAATAGAACAGCATTTATTTGAAATAGACTCTTTTGAAACATTATAAATTGTATTTTACTGCCACTTTTAATCAATTTAATGCAACCTTGCTGAACAGAAATATATATATATATATATATATATATATATTTTTTTTTTTAGAACCATCAAGATTTGCACAAACTCTTAATTGTCCTACATTCGATTTTAATTTTCTTAATGCAAAATAATTTGTAACTTTATTTTTCACATCTTTAGCACCAGAAGTCATTACAAACACATACTATAGTGTAAGTGTGGACTGGTGGGGACTCGGGTGTCTAATTTATGAGATGACGGACGGAAATCCTCCGTTCCGCAGACACAAGGAACGACTAGACTCTTTTGAAACATTATAAATTGTATTTTACTGCCACTTTTAATCAATTTAATGCAACCTTGCCGAACAGAAATATATATATATATATATATATATATATATATATATATTTTCAAAAATAAATCTTTTTTTAGAACCATCAAGATTTGCACGAAAACTCTTAATTGTCCTACATTCGATTTTAATTTTCTTAATGCAAAATAATTTGTAACTTTATTTTTCACATCTTTAGCACCAGAAGTCATTACAAACACATACTATAGTGTAAGTGTGGACTGGTGGGGACTCGGGTGTCTAATTTATGAGATGACGGACGGAAATCCTCCGTTCCGCAGACACAAGGAACGACTGCCGAGACAGGAGATGGAAAGACGAGTTCTGGAGATGATCGAGAATTACGGGAAGAAGTTTGACGAGGACACCAAATACATCTGCAAAAGCGTGAGGCTGCATTTTATGCACTGTTGAATCCATACAATCCTCCTCTGATTTCGCTGATCTAATCTACCACTCGTTCTGATTAGGTCTTTCTATTTAAAAAGAATACTATTAATATTTCAAATTGTTTTATGATTTAGCTCCTGGCTAAAAACCCAAAGGAGAGATTGGGCTGCAAATATGGGCGAGGATCAGAGGTCATCAAAGGTCACGTGTTCTTTAAGGACATCAATTTTACGAGGCTTGAGGCAGGAATGATGCCGCCACCCTTTGTTCCCGACGTGAGTGACACTTCTGATTATTATTAATGTTGAACACAGCTGTGCTGCTTATCTTTTGGAAACTGATACATTTTAGTAGGGCTGGGTATCGAGTTTGATACTTTTTTTTATTTTTATTTTTAGGCACCGACCAAATTGCCTCGATACCATCGAGTATCGAAAAACGTCTTGTCGTTCGGTACCAGATTTCGATACCTAAGGGGTTAATCTCAT